GCACAGAAACAGAACTATATAACATTTTAGACACATTCTAGACAGTTTATCAGCTAAAAAAAGTTAATTTTGGGGTAAGTTACTCTTTAAATGGGACAAGCTCTGTGGAGTAACAATGGATGGAGCTCCTGCCATGACGGGCGGGCGCAAAAGAATGGGTGAGTTTGAAATACACACATTATTGATATATGAATATATCTCATTATTACAGTAAAACTGATCTATTTATGTTTTCATTATTTTACAGAAAATAGTGTGATGGACAGTTAACCAACCCCTCACTTGACATTAAAACCCCTCTCTTCACATAGGTGAGTTAGAAATACACACATTATTGATGTATCAGTATGTCACTTCTAATATGTGGCCCGGCCCTTTGTTTATTTTTCTGTATTTGGCCCTCACTAAAAAAGTTTAGACACCCCTGGACTAGAGCAATGATAGACTGACTTGCTCTTTTCTTCTATAGTTCAGTGTAGCTTTTTAAAAATGGAAATATGAGGAGGATGAATACATTAAAATCAGGCCAGATGACTCATTCATCAGTATATGTGCACTCGCCCGGCTCCGGGTTTAAGTGTGACCTCACAGCCTCATCACGTCTTTACTTAATTTAAAACAGTTATATTTCCTGAACACTTACTCCAGGCCAGAGTTAAAGGGGTCGTGGAGGGGATGAGGAGGAGACCGTAGAGCGCACCAACATGCAGCAGACTCATCAGGATGATGTTCCTCCACACCAGAACCATTGGTTGCGCCCCTCCTTTCTCTCGGTACGTGTTGTCGAAAACATCATCCGCGGTCCACGCCTCTGCCGCCGAGTCCCCATTCTGCTGCTTGGAAGAGTACCGTCTGCTGGTCGTGGTCATTTTTGGGGAGTTGTTTTGTTTTCTGATGGGAGAGGAGGAAAACCTGCTGAGTTTGATGTTCAGCATGAAGCACAGAGAAGCTGCTGCTGCTGCTGTACCCAGCTGGCAGCTCAATGGTCAAGCTTTTACACAGCTGGGCTTTAAAAAGAGAGAAGACTTCAAGGTTTTATCTGTGTCAGTTCTGTCAAAACCCAGCAAAAACAAACAAGTCTTAATTTGTGTTTTTTGTATGAGAGAATTTGCATTTCCTGCAAAAATGCAATGATAAATGTTAAAAGAACTTTTGCTGAATAGCTGAAAAAATATTCTGAACTAAAATAAGTAAAAAGTAGCTGAAAGCTAAAATTAGCACAAAGAAATAGAAAGAGTATGTTTGCTGAATTAAGCAATAAGAAGCTGAAATTATAACAAAAAGGCGATTTTATCTGAAAAAGTTTTAATTTGCTAAGCCATAACAGCTGAAATTAGCAGAAATCAGCTAAAAGTAGCATAAAAAGCTTGAAACAGTAGAAAGAAGCTGAAAGAAACAAAAAAAGTTTACATTAGCAGTAGCAAATAAAGGTCAGAATGATTGCTAAAAAGCATCAAAAAGCCAAAAGTCAGCTAAACAGAAGCAAAAATTAGAACAAAGGAGTTTAAAACGAGACAATCAGAACAAAAGGTAAAAAGTACAGTAAAGATTTATAGACATTTTGAAGGGTTTTAAGGATGTTGAAGACAGCCCCATCCATATTCTATTAGGAAAAAATGGCTGAAAAAGGTGAATTTCTCAAAAAGCATAAATTCCTCTAGTACCAAAAGTCAAAGCCGGAATGTCCATGAGGAGCTGAACGTTTTGATATCTAAACTATTGAAATAGCACAAACATTGCGAAACAAGATGTGTGCTGAAAAACAAAAAATAGCTCTCAGTAATGTGAATGCTTGATTAAAGGCATGGCATTACTTTAAGGATTGCATATCACCCACTGCCTTTCAAACCAGCTTTAGACCGAGATGCCGAGAAATAAAATGTGAAATATTACCCTCAGAGTATGTGTTAGGATGACGCTCAGCTACAAAAACCTTGAATTTTAGCTCCATGTTTGTGAAATTTGAATAGATATTTTAATGAGTTAACTCCATGAGTTAAAGCCAAAATTTTAAATCCAAGACCTTGGAGTATGTGTTGTAAACGACCCTCAGCTACAACTACACCAATGTTTAGCTCATTGTCTGTGAAACTGACTATACTATAGCTATTTTTGTGTTTTAAAGAGTAACTTACCCCAAAATTAACTTTTTTTAGCTGATAAACTGTCTAGAATGTGTCTAAAATGTTATATAGTTCTGTTTCTGTGCTAATATTGATGTTTTTGTGCGTATTTGTTCAAATCTGTAATATTTGGTCTAAAAACATCTTTTTGCTGCCCATATGGGTAGAGCAGTGGTACTGCAGGCTAATTTGCATATTGGTTAACGGCTCTCCACGGTGACGTGGTTCTCCACAGTTTCGTCACAGCGGATGTGTTCTGCTACAAAAAGCTCTCTCTAAGACACGCCCCTGCAGCAGTCAGAGGGTGGAAC